GGAGGAACTTTTATTTGTTGATCCTGGTGAAAAAGAAGTTGATGATAACGAACGTTATAATCTGTAAGCTTCCAAATATTATATTTATATATTTATATACATATTATTAATATTTGTAAAGTGTGTGTGCCTTTTTTCTCCCATTAATTCTCAATGAATTAATTATTTTTTAATATATAGTTCACGATCAGTAACACTTCGAATTGAAACTGCAATACAAAGATTCAAAGATACTCGTAAATTTTCTTCAACTCGTAACCAAGTATTTAGTTCTTATCTTCGTTTTGGAGGAGTCAAGACAGGTCAAAATTCATTTTTAGGTCAACAGGATATCGAAGATCCAGAAGCCACCAGTGAAGACATTACTATGAGAAAATCAACAGACTTTATTCAAGATGATGGCGATGAAGATGAGGATGAAATAATAGTAGATTTTACATACGTAGTTAAGGCTTATTTATCTAGTTATTTTATCGATAAATCAGGCTATGTGCAATTAGAACAATTTCGTGAAGCACCTTTAGTTGTGTCATCATTTTTAAATTATTTAGTTAGACATAATGTGTGCCCAGAATACTCTGAGGATATATCAAGGGCAATGGAATTTACTGAACGTGCTAAAATAGAGTTGCCAAATTGTAAAAGTCTAGCATTGACCGCTTTTCACAAATTTAATAAGGCATGTTCTATATTGTATGGTGGTGAATTATATGGTATTTTCGATGATCCTTGGGATTTAGAAAATGTTATAAAGTATATGAAAATCTCTTTAAGTGAAGCCAAAGAAATTATTAATAAAGCATTTGGAGAAGATGCTTTAAAAGATGGAAATCTTTACCGCGTTGAATCAGCCACAAGAAAAGCACTTAAAGTGGAAATAATTGATATAGAAAAACTACCAGAAAAGAAATCAAGCGATCAATCTTTAAAAGATGATAAAGATTATAAAAAAGTAGACGAAAAAGTCGATAAGAAAGATGATGATATGAAAAATGATGAGAAGAATGATGAGAAGAATGATGAGAAAAATGAAGATAAAGTTGATAAGAATGTTGAAAAGACAGATGATGATATGAAAATTGAAGAGAATGATGAAAAGAAAGTTGATGAGAAAGTTGAAAAGAAAGTTGATGAGAAAGTTGATGATGTGAAAATCGAAGAGAATGATGATATGAAAGTTGATGAGAAAAATAAGAAGAAAATTGACAAGAAAGTTGATATGGAAGTTGATGAGAAAGTTAAAAAGGAAGTTGACGAGAAAGTCAACGATGCGAAAGTTGATGAAAAAGTCGATGACGTGAAAATTGAAGAGAATGGTGATAAGAAGGTTGATATGAAAGTTGATATGAAAGATGATAATAAAGATAAGAAAGATGATAATGCAATCAATGAAGATGACAAAGATAATAAAGGTGATAATCCAATTAATAAAAATAAGAAAGATGACGAGAAAGATCATAAGAACGATTCATCATCATCTGCGTCTAATGATGTCAACAATACTAAAACAGCACCAAAAACCAATGATTCTTTAGATGATGATAAAGATAACAAAACCGATGATGGAATAAAACTTTACAGAATGACAGTTAGAACATGCGAAGAACCAATCGTAGAAACATTTGATGTTCATATTGATTTTGAGACTTTGCAATATGCAATGGTTGGAATGACTGTAATAGCTGATTTTCATCAATTGTCAAATGGGTGGTGGTATTATGATAATGTAACAAATGTTTATCCATCTTATTATGAAGTTTGTGATGAATCTGAAGATGAAGAAGAATAATCTTAGAATAGCAAATGTCTTTTCTTTCTCACTAATTAATATATTGTGAATAGTTCAATTATTTCTCACGTATTCATACATTATATATATTCATTCATATATTCATAAAAAAAATTTTTTCTGTTTATTTCTCAGTAAAATTTTCCAAAAATCAAACGTTGTATATTTTTATATAATTTGTTTTATTGTTGTTCTTTTCATAATTGATATCTATTGATTATGATTGTGCAATCATATAATACTATTATTATTATTTAAAAAATATATTTTCAAACCCATCAAATTTTGTTTAATAAGTGTCAACTGGAAAATCAGGAATATTGAAAGCAAAATGTCTGACAACAGAAGCAACTTTTAAACCAACTCCTGGAAAATTCATTAATAAGTTTACGTCGCTGGGAACAACACCTTTATATTTACTTATTAAAGTTTTGCTTGTTTCGATAATTCTATTTGTTTTAATTTTACTTAATCCTATTGGATAAATCATATTTGTTATTTCTTCTTTTTTTAATTTTAACATAGATTCAACATTAGGAGCTAAATTTAATAATTTTCCAACACAAGGAATGGATATTTTGTCTTTTGCCCTAATAGATAAAATAGATCTTATCAAGCAGAAATATGGATCTTCTGTTGTAGGTTCTTTGTCTGACATTAAACAAATTAATTCCCATTGTTTTTGATAAATAGATGAATGCTTTAGCATTAAGTTTTATTTATGAATTTTATACATGGAGTTTCGAATCAACATATTCTTCTAATTTTTATAGATATCTAGACAAAATAGAAAGTAAAAAAGAAAATATGGGAAAATATTATGTATTATCAAAACATTTTCGTACCTTAAGAGGGGCAATTCCTTTCATTATTATTCCATTTCTAAATCACCTTAATGAAATTATATTTGGATTAACATTTAGTTTGATAATTAACATATATAATAAAGTGAAAATTTTTTTTTTGATGTTCTATGTTTTTTGTTGTTATATTTTTTACCTGTTACAAATCTTTTCAACGTTATACAACATCAGCTCCTCAAAAATCAAATCTTGGATAAAGCTAGATCCCTAGCTGAAGTCGTGGAATGAGCCTCTTGGCCTTAGGTGAAGTTGTGTATGAAGTAGCCTTCAAATTAATAGGTTTTTTATGGTATCTGAAATAACAGAATGACAGCGCTAGTCGTTAATAGACATGATTAGATCGAAAAGTGATACATTCTCTATAATGTTACCTTTCGCATTGTGATCCATATTTGAGAAGGAATCAAAGAAAATGAAATATGTTTAATTAGTTATAGTAAAACAGTTTTTTTTGACAACAAATTTTTTGTGTATCAATTTTCGTCATACAGAAGATTGTCGGATCGAATTTATCTTTTAATTAAATCTTTTAATTTTGTCATTTTATTAAAGTTATTTAATTTAATATATTAAAAAAAAAAGATATTTAAAAATGTTGGAAATCGAAATCCTAACAATCAAGAAAATAAATAAAACTGAAAAATATCTATAGAATAAAAAACCAATCAATCCAACCAACTAATCAAATATCAAACAAATGTCCTACGACGAATACTATAACAACAATAACAATAGAATCAACAACTACAACATCAACAGCAATATTAGTAATAATAAATCAATTAGAAAAAATATTTACCTGATTCTGTTAATAATCTTTTTTTTTGTAATTTCTTCTTCTGCTTCACCATCACCACAACAACGATCGCAATTGATGATGAAGAACAGCAACCAAAAAAGATTTGTTGGTTATGGTGATGTCGGTGGAGCAATCTTAACATTGTTAACAAAAAGGTCAGCACCTGCTAATAGAAGAATTAAGTTATTAAAAAAGAGACAAGGTGGGGATGATGATTATGATTATGATGATTATGATGATTATGATACGGATTATGATTCAGATTATGATTACGATGAAGATTATTTTGATTCTTAATATTAATATATATGTTGTATATCTTGTAATAATCGAAAATCAATAAATATTGCAACTATTAAATTTTAAATTTTAAATTCTTGATCGTGAAATGATTCTATGGCATTGTGTACCATATATATATTATATATATTTGTATATTTATTTCTCTCAAGTTAACAAGTCAATAATAAACGTCGTCTCTATTTGCTTAATTAATTAATTTGTCCCTTTCACTATTTTTTTTTTTTGATTAAAACGAACACTTTTTGAAGGATAGTAAATACCAGAATCAATCAACATATTAGTTGAGCTGGGAGAACCAAGCTTTATTATTATACATTTCAACTTGAAGTCAAGCAGTGAATGGTGTAGCAAGTTACATGCAAAGGTTTTATAATTAATTGTATTTGGAGCCACTTCAAATCGATCTTGTTGGAGAAAGAATTTGTAAAAAACACGATATTTTGTTGATCCTTACTATTGTTAAAAAAAATTTATTTTTGATGTAACTTCAAAATTTCAAACTTTTTTATAAAAAAAATCAAGTTTATCAAAAATTTTATTTTATTTTATTTGATCAATCTTTATATAATATGAAATTAGTAAGGTTAGTTAACCATAATGATGGTGATAATAATAATGATGATAATGATGACGATGATAATTTCTTTTTTTACCTTAGATTTTTAATGAAATTAAATAATGAGACTGTTACCATAGAACTCAAGAATGGTACTATAGTACATGGAACTATTACAGGTAATATTAATTAATAAAGTATCGTTATTGTTTGATATTTATACTTCCATATATATATATATATTCACATTTATTTATGTGAATTAGGTGTAGATATGAGTATGAATATACACCTTAAAACTGTTAAAATGACAGTAAAAAATAAAGATCCGGTTAATTTAGACTCTTTAAGTATTAGAGGCAACACTATTAGATATTTCATTTTACCTGATTCTCTTCCGTTAGATACATTGCTGGTTGATGATGCTCCAAAAGCTAAAGCCAAAAAGAAAGAGGGTAATTTACTTAAATTTTCTGTTTTTTTTTTTTTGTTAATGACATTTAATTGACATATATATATATAGTTGTTGATGTTGGTCGTGGGCGTGGGCGTGGACGTGGTTCTCGCGGACGTGTTGGTGGCGGTGGAGGTCGTGGACGTTAATTTTGATAAAATTATTTTTTGAGATTAACTTATAAATGCTACATTATGCTGTGGCACTAAATATTTCACGTATTAAATAATAAAACTAGATTTCGTATATAACAACTTTCCCTAAGCCAATTTATTGGTTTCTTTATTATTTTTTTAAGATAAATATCTTTGAAATGTCTAATATTTCATCCTTGGAAAATATTACATACTTGTTTAAAAACCTTAACATTAATAATGCTTCACCTTTAAAATATATTAATAAGCTAGTAAATGATTTTTCAAATTTGTTGGACAATTCAGATTATTATGATACAGAAATTAAAGTTGGAGTGGAAGATGATGATAAAATTTTTAAAGCTCATTCCACCATCTTAAAAGCAAGGTCTTTGTATTTTAGAACAGCTTTATCTAAAAATTGGGTTAAAAAGTCTGATGATGGCAATATTTTGTTTGAAAAAGAAAATATTTCTCCAAGAGTTTTTGAAGTACTTTTAATGTAGGAATAAATTAAAATTAAATTAAATTATAATTATTAAATAATAATAACATTTATATACTAATCATTATTTTTTTCTATTTATTTATTTTTAAAAGGTATATGTATAATGGGATTATTAATCTTGATAGCCTGGATGCATATGAAATCTTAGAACTTATTGAAGCATGTGATGAATTAAACTTTAATGAATTAATTGATGATTTACAAAATTATTTAATCAATGAAAAAAATGAATGGCTTCATCAAAAATTAATTTATGTTCATAATATTTCATCTAAACATCAATTTTTCACCTTACTTCAAGATTTTTGTAATAAATTAATTTGTAAAAATCCAGCATCAATTTTAAAATCTAATGATATTGCAGCAATTGAAAAATCTATGCTTGTTTCTATATTGAAAAAGGATAATTTAAAATTAGATGAGATTGATGTTTGGGATTATGTCATTCAATGGGGGATTGGACAAAATCAAACATTGGGAAAAATTATTTCAATGTGGAGCAATGATGATTTTGAAGAATTAAGATATTTATTAGAAGATGTTATTCCATTGGTTAGATTCAGTGAGATATCTAAAGAAGATTTTCTTAATAAAATCATTCCATATAAAAAGGCTTTTGATGAAAAATTATACAAAGAAATTCATGGATATTATTTTACTAAAAAGTGGCAGCCAAAGTTACTTCTTCAAAGAGGTCCAAGAACAAAAAAATTATTAAATTTGAAAATGAGCCCTTTAATTTCTAGCTGGATTAATCAAAATAATGAAAATAATATTCCATATGATTTTGAATTGATCCTTTGTGGATCTCAAGATGGCTTTTCAAGAGCAGTTTTTGAGGAGATGTGCTATAACATTGAACAAACCGTAGTATTACTTAAAATTAAAGAAACGGGTGAATTGATAGGTGGATATAATCCTGTTTGTTGGAATATAAACAAAAAAGCACCAAATGAAAGGTATTTTATTGAAACAGATAAAAGTTTTATTTTTAAGATTGATGAAAATCAACTTGGTAATTCAATATTAAGTAGAGTCAAAAATCCTGGGCATGCAATATTTCATAGTAGACAAACCATTGATAGGGATTTAGACAATATAAAATTTTATGAAAATTCTATAAGTTTTCATGATTTACACCTATTCATTAGTATTAATAATCAACCTTATTGTTATTATTATTTTTCTAATTATTCTTATGAAAATAATTTAAATCTTAGGAATAGTAATAAGGATGTTCATTTATTGGAAGAATTTGAAGTATATAAAATAGTAAAGAAAAATTAATGATTTTTATATTTTAATTTCTGCAATTAAATTTTAATATATATAAAAGGTTATTGTAATTATGTCTGATTCAATTGGTTCAGGAACTGTTCACCAAATTTAACTTGGCCAATTTAAACTTAAAATAAATAATCATTATTGCTCTGCCATTAAAATATATTATATAGTAAGCTTTTAAATGATTAGATTAAAAATCTGATGATATATTTAGTTATTGTCAATTTTTACATAAAA